CTTTCTCCCGATAAATAATGTTGCAACCTGATATCTTGTACTGCAGAGGTTCTTACTCCATTGTGTGTTTTCTGTTTTTGAACTGAGTTTAATATCACTTCGCTCAAACCCATCTGGAGGGGAATGAGTTAAATGATATTAAACTCAGTTCGAAAACAGAAAACACACAACGGAGTAAGAACCTCTGCAGTACAAGATATCAGGTTGCAACGTTATTTATCTGGAGAAAGTTTCTCACCAGTGCCTGTAAAATATGAGAATTTCATTTACATCGATTATTAATTCTAGCTATACGTGTGAACCAGTGATTTTTCGGAAGGGAGCAGTAAAAAGTGCTGGTGGTATAATAGCATACTTTCTTACCGACAGGGCAGGTGGTATGATAGAATACCTTCTTACCGACCGAGCCCTCGGCACTGGCGTCAGACATTTTTTATTTCAAAAGATCTGCCTCCGGGCACCGTGGCAGCAGTGATGCTTCATGACGTCACGGCGGTTATGTTTCCACCCATTAGCACCGAGTTGCATCCCCCTGATCAACATCTTCCCTCCGAACTATTCCCTCCCCCGTACTCTCCTCCGGTCACTGATCAGTTGGAGTTGCACGGATGGTCAACTGTGTACATGCTAACCAGGTGACTTTTACGACGTCTACTATGTATAGCCCCCCCCCCCGGTATGTAAGAGAGTAAAGGCTGCCACACACCAGTGCGATCGCGAACGCCATGAACGCCATGAACGTCTACATAGGTCAATTATATGGTTTTGCTAACAGATCTTACAGATGGCAGTAAGGTAGTTTATGACGTCATATAACGTTATGTATTTCGATCCATTACATCCATTAGCCCTGAGCGAGGATCGGATATGTTGCGTTTTAGCTCAGCTTTGGCCCGTGTTACTTAAGCTATTTTTATCTTTTGGACATTTAGTCTTACAGATTGTTCAGTAGCGTAAAGGATGAAGGGGAGATCGAAATGTAGTTTATTTAGGAGTGTTTATGAACAGCCTTACACAGATACAACGCGCTGGAAATTGTATAACAGTACTAAAGGTTAGTATTTAATTGAAATAACGCTCATATGTTTATAGTATGGGATATCTGTGGTTAAAGGTGCCCCTTCTATAGGCAAATTTATGTTTCATACAGTGCATATAATACCTGTTAAGTGTAGTGTGTGGTACTCTTATTTTTTTTTTTTACGGAGAACCGTTTTAATTTGTGAATCAGCAAGTAGATTTACATTTTATTATGTTTGTAAGTACAGAACTTCGAGATTGTTTAATGTGGAATAAATATTTCATGTGTGTAAAGTGATCACTTTCACTAGTGCCTTGCTGTTTGTTTCTCTGGCTGCCCATTCTTGTATTTTGTAAATCACTTGCAGTGCCTGCTAAATTAGTATTAATAACTGACATTTTCAACATGTCTGTTCTGTCAATTTTTTTTTTCTCTCCAGAATCTTAAGGTTAAACATTTGGCTGGGATGCTGGCTGTTGTTTTTCTTTGTCTCTCAAAGCAGGTGCCATGACAGTACTGCAATTAGGCCATGACCACTTCTTTCCAATTCCTTTCAAATTATGTCATCCACAATTCAGTGCTGTGAATGGTGTACCAGTTGACTGCTAAATACAGAAAAGAACACATTGTCAAACTTTCTGTCCCTCAAGTTTTCCCCCTTTTTTAAGTTATGAAATAGGAGAGTCAAAGGGAACCTTATCATTCCTGCTTTCATGGCCCTTTATGTTATGCTGCGTGATAGAGAAAACTCATGTAAATAGAAATGCTTGATCTTGTGGATCATGTTCATGTTGCATAGCATCCACATAATGGAAAAAAGAATCATCACTTTGTGAGATTTGAGGTTTCCCACAGCTGTGTCTATAAGGATTATTGTGTTCTAGGATGCTACACATAATTTGATAGATAGTTGCCAACTTCAGGGGTACCTAATGCATTCATCTTCATCTTTTCCTGTTCTCAATTATTGTATAATGGACATATCTCATACACAGATCTGTGCTTAAAATAAATCTGTGTCTGTCTCTCCTTTGCCATTTCACAAGTAGTCAATATTATGTAATTTTTCAATAAATCACACATTGAACTACCAAAAGCTTTTGGTTCCTTGGTTGAAATCAACACAGTTGTGACGTATACCTCAAAACCCACATTTCCATCAGTGCTACAACCATGTGCATTGTGTTGTTAACCAGATTAATTATACAACAAATTATGTTCATTACATTTGAAGAATGAATCAGTGTGCATCAGTCGCGTAAGCTTTGGAGATAAAAGTGTAAGAACGGATTGGCATCTATCCATAACATTTTTCATCAGTGCACTATCAGCTCAATCATTGCTTCTTCATGCTTCTGATGTTGGAAGTTATATTTAGATATAGACATGGCCGCGCCATAGCTCAAGTGGTTAGTCGCTGGCTTCCCACTGTGGCGGCCTGTGTTTGATCCCAGGTCTGGTCAAGTGGGATTTGTGATGGACAAAGTGGCGCTGGGGTGTGTTTTTTCCGAGTACTTCGGTTTCTCCTGCCTGTCTTCATTCCACCAAATTCTCCATCATCATAATAACCAGGGCAGGCTACAATAGGCCAGTCAGTGGCTGCTATGCCGAGTGGACCCAGTTTGACTCCACCCCCCACTAAGCTGAATTAAAAAAGAAAGTAAATTAGATATAGACATAACAGAAGGTGCCAAAATTCAGGCCAGTGGAAGGTGTGCCCCTGTGCTTAATGAATGAATCACCTCCCTATGGTGATGTATTGGTGAGTGGAGGTATAACTCCACTATTCTCGATTTTGGCCCTAGATGGAAATGAGAGCTCAGTTTCACACCCTAGCTGCTTTACCCTCATGGAAAGAACCCCCAGTGTGGATTCAACAAGAGGCTGGGTGGGCCCCAAGCTATTCTGAATGCTGTAAAGTAGATAAAGTCTGTTGCCCCTGCAAGGAATCCAACCTATCACTATGCCAACTGAGCTAAGGCTAGTACCAGCATAAAGATAGGCCTGTAATAGGGCTCTTTGGTCACTCACGCTTAAGCTCTCGTAACGAATGCCAAAGATTTTAAAGTTTAAACCACTGTTACTGATTTTAAATAATAATCAGAATCACGTATAATTTACTTCATTAGAGTTACTAAATGCCATTTATTTAAAGATAGATCTGCCCTTTTCACATTGAAACCGCGTTCAATTAAAGATTTCTCCTCCTCCTCCTCTATGGCTCTATAGCCCTTTAGACCTTGGCACTTTTTCAGTTTCTTAATCCTATATACAGTCGGTAGGACTCCTTGGATGGGGAATCAGCCCGTTGCAAGGCTCATACCTACACACAGAGCAACACAGATACAGGATAAGCACACATAGACATCTGTGCTGCGAGTGGGATTCGAACCCACGATCCCAACGTTTGAGCAGGCAAAGGTGGTTCATGCCTTAGACTGCATAACCACTGTGATTTGCCAATTGAAGATTTCACATGTGTATATTAGTAACTACCCTTGTTCTCCATCAGTGCCTAAAGTCCTTGCTGAAATAATATGGTATACTGTCCTCAAGTAAATATGCATTTCTAAGAATCAGGTATCACACTGTACCTATATATACAAATTTTATCATTTCTTGCATACAAATTGATATACTTATGATTTCTTAAATGAACAATGTTCCAAACATATCCCAGATTGCATCCTGATGTTTTGTATGTCCTCAGTTATGTTTCTTTGTACAAGTGCTATTTGGAAAGTGACCTCTGTTTATTTTAGGCAACTAATGTAGGAGCAGTGGCGAGCTCGTGCATGTGAGGTAGTGTCACATGACTCATTGCCTTGCAAACCATCAGAGCTGGTCACCTAGTGTTTGTTCTTGTCTCTACAAAGAGTTATGATGTGACCTGCAATTCATAATCCCATCAGCTGCAAAATTCACAGTGTTATACATTTTCTTTTCACCAAAAACATGAGTGCTGTGGAAATCCAATGCCAAAATGTAATGAGTGAAGGAACTGCAAGACAATGATGTGGAATGTTCAGAGATGGGAGAACAAATGTTTACAGTGAAGAATGAAGTGGTTGTCCATCTGTAGTAGTGATCTTGTTCAGTGTGTGAATTTGTGTGTCAATTTGTGGAAGACATCATTCACAATTCGAGAACTTTCATGTGAATTTCCATAAATTTCATGCACCATTACCTGCTAGATCATTTAGCTTTTCCAAGTTTTGTCCAAGTTGAGTTCCCAGAGATGCTCATGGGTGTGAACAAAATGCAGAGAATGGCTTTGACTTTGACTTTTTACAGTGATACCACAAATGTGATGAATTTCTCAAACACATTGTATGTATGACAGATGATGAAACCTGTGTTACATTTGTGAATGTTGAAAGCCAAGAGCAGTTAAAGGAGTGGATGCATACACGTACGTCAAACAAGCCAAAAAAGTTTAAACTTATGTCTACCAGTAAGCTGATGGCAGCTGTTTTCTGGGACAGGAGAGGAGTTCTGATGGTGAAATTCATGCAGCAAGGGACCACGTTAATGTCAAAAGTGTATTGTGAAACACCAGAAAAACTGCATAGGGTCAAGCAGAACAAAAGACATGAAATGCTGACGTATGGTGTAGTGCTCCTCCATGACAATGCAAATCCACATATAGCTACTTGCACTCGAGCACTGCTGGGGAATTTCAACTGGGAGTTGTTTGACCACCCTTGTTACAGCCCTGATCTTGCTCCTAGTATCTACACCTGTTTACCTACCTGAAGAAATCACAGCACTTCAGCATGAGGAGTTGATTGTAGGTTTGAGAACATTGCTGAGCTACCAGGTGCTGACTTCTATAACACAGGCATACAGATACTTTTCCTTGATACAACAAGTGCCTCAGTTCTGGTGCTGACTAACTTTGAGAAGGAGCTTAAGTATGTGTGTATTTTATGTATATAATAACTTTTTTCTTAATTGCTTATTTTGTTAACAGCTCATTGGAGGTTACTTTTCGAATAGCCCTTGTCTGTAAGTCTTTTTTTTTTTCTTTTACAACTAAGACTTACAGTTTGTGTCATCAGGTGTGTTGACAGTATCTGGGCAGACCTTCTTACTGAGTTGCTGTATTATTTTCTCTTTACCGCAAATCTCACTTTGTATTATGAGTTTTAATGGTAGGTGTTTTTATTTTAATTATATCCTTGTTGCTAACATTGGGCCACATGTGTGGAGATAGTTGTACTGTTTCAGACAGTCTTCTAAAATGAGTATTTTTCTGACAGTATTTAATGAAATGAAGAGAGAGAACTTATTTATCAAAATGTAGTTGCCACAGATAATTTCCTGTTCTTTGATTTTATAAGCAATTTCCCATAACTCGTGATGATATAGTATTGAGTTTTTAATCGAGTAGTATCATTTTGTTTCAAGTTCTGAAGCAACTGTAACTGCCACCATGCATATAAGATTATTAGGACTGTTACTGACATTTGTGCAAAACATCCATATGCATATGTGTGGAGGCAAAGCCAGGTGCCCATTCCTAGACAATGGCTCAGTAATCATGTTACCACAGCAACAAATATGACTGAAGAAGCAATGCATTGCATAGAGAGACGTCAATTCCTAGGGAACACATACAGAAACATTTCCATTCACATGGCAACGAACCTCCAAGCACACTAACAGCGAAGAACGCGATAGCTCTGCTGTTGAAGGGGGTGATCTCTATACGATTCGACCAAAACCTACCTCGGAGAGAATTGACCAACAGAAGACAGAAGAAAAACAGAAGTCAGAAGTGAAGTCTTTATTTTATTTGGTGTAGTTCCAGTAACCTCTAGAGTGTTATCATTGTCCATAGTTGCGAAGTGTTACAGTTGTGGTAGGATTGTGTTACAATTAATTGTAATGCCACCTGGTGAATGTCCAATAAATTGATTCATCTAATTCAGAACCCAATAATTACATGTCATATTATCAGGGTACGGGACAATAATATATGTGCTCAGATTATTCTGTCTGTGAGTTATAACCTTGCTTGTTTATTTAATGTGCTAAATTAAAAAATCTTCTACTTGTGTTATTTGTAAAGTACTTTATTTTGATAAACTTTGTAACTATGATTAGGCTTAATGGGAGATGTGATTTTGACCATGAAAAACATGCACAGGTAGTTTGGATATGATCCAGCGACTGTGTTTATTGAAGAAGCTTCCGGTTCACAGTGGGTGTGTCAATTCTCTTTGCTGGAATGAAACTGGGGAATATATACTATCTGGATCAGATGATCAGCATTTGGTTGTTACACATGGCTACAACTTCAAGGTAATTGCTTTGTATGATGTGGTGTGATTTAGATTTGAACAAAAACAAAGATAGTTGACTGATATACCATCAGTTTTGATGTACGTGATAGTTTTTGATAAACTAGTTTTAAGTTCTGTTTCTTTTATTTACAGGTGTTAACAAATTATAAAACAAGTCATCGTGCCAATATCTTCAGTGCCAAATTTTTACCAAATAGTGGGGATAATAATATAATTTCCTGTTCAGGAGATGGAATCATCTTATATACTGGTTAGTTATTTAACTAAATATTTATAGGTTAATTTACCCTTAAAGGCATGCAGTTTTAATAGTGTATGGTGTATTAAAGAATTCCATATGGATGTATACTGATAACATGTATGATACTTGTGTCATGTAATGCGTTAAAAAGTCCTTCAACACACCTTGTACACCTGATGACGGCCAATTAGGCAAAAATATGGTGTGCAATAAGGCAGAAAGAATAAACATCAAAATCTAGATGATTTTGAGTTATACAAGGATAGATAAGAATCAGAACAGCTTTCAAGTTTATACATAATGCAACCGGATGTTAAAATATAATATAATTCAGTACAGCATTTTTACTCTCTAACTTACAATAGGAAGATGAATGTAATCTTGCAGTCCCCGTGGCCAGGCCTCATGGACCACACTTTGGGAACTACTGGTGTAGTATATGCCACAAGTAAGAGTATAGCAATATTGAGTGAAGGTGTGGGATGCATTTCTAAGGCTGGAGCACTCGTGCGATAATTTCCGTTTCTCCCAGTGATAAGGTAGTTGCGAGAATGGTGGTGGCTAGGAGACATTGCTGTACGTTTAACATGGACCTTGTACCATGTTTTAGGGCTGGTATTATCCACATCCTCTTGATTTTGTTGGAGTTCAGGATGGAGGATAACAAGCAGAAGGGTGCTTAGACTGTGAAGTTTACTTACCAATGAAGTATATTTGCGTTGGATATATGTTTTCTTTTGACACATTCTCCAACTTTTCTAGAGGGATTAATATTGCCAGTATGTTGACATTTATACTGTAAAATATGAAGTTATGGGTGTTGCACAGTTTATCTATGAATTATTGTAGCAGGCTTCCACAGATTTGCTACATGGCTAGGAGTGAACCTGTCTGATCAGTAATTGTAATTATTATATTCTGACCAAATACTATTACAGATAGAAGCATGTGTCACTTTGTAATTTACAAGTATCGTGCTTCTTTGGTAAGTTTAATCTGTTGAAATCTGTGTTAAAGTATGTTTGCAAGTAGTGTATGGTGAATTAATATTTTTTTTCAGATCTCATGAGGAAAGAAGAAACATATTACAACCAGTTCAACTGCCACTCTGGCACAACATATGAAGTTATAACCATTCCTAATGATCCCAACTCATTTCTAAGCTGTGGTGAGGATGGGACAGTTAGATGGTTTGACTTACGCATGAAAGACAAATGCAACAAACCCCAGTGTAAAGAGGTTAGTATAAGTATGATATACAAGTATATATATATATATATGTGTGTGTGTTTTACATGCCCTACCAGTAAGGAAGTAAAGGTATACCTGTAATAGGCTGTGGAGGCCCATAGGGTTGTGAGATGTTGAGGTTCCCACATTTTTTAGACAGTCGGCTCATAGATGGCAGTAAGGTTGTCAGCCCTACGCGCCAGCCACCCTTTACCCCCAAGAACATTCCAAGAATGTTTCTGGTACTCATTTCTGTTAGTTGCTGAGTCGACCCCAGGGCTATAGTGCAGCTGGAAGGATTAGGTAAATTGAAAGAAATCCAGTGACCTCATGGGGATTCGATCCCGCAGCCTTCCGGCTTGTAGCATAGTGCCTCAACCAACTACGCTACCGCGTGCCCCACATGCCCTACCAGTTATAAATATAATTTAATATATTGTCACGTGTTGGGTATGCACACGAAAAGTAACTTCACGCCGTCTTGGATCTAACGAATTTATTGCACATTCGCTCTTACATTTACACGGTTTACAATCTCACAACTACTGCCATCGGCAGTATCACAGTTACTTCTCCTGCCGTAGTCACTGCCATGCACTCAATACAACCCAACTCGACGACTCCTAGATTGAAAACTGACTCTGGCAAATGCTAGACTGCAACTGACTGGTAGGAACTCTCTGGTAACTCAATACTCACTCCTCCTGAATAGTGTTCATGGCTTCTTATTTAGGCTTGGCATGGACAACATAGAGAACACATTGCTGCTCGGCAGCAGATATCAGGTATTGTTGTCAGGTGTGTCTACCTATTCATTGCCTAGTAATAGACGCCCTACTGTTGCGTGGCGTCACCGCCTAGCGGGGAGGGGTGTTTACTGAGCATTGCATAATGGTGGAAGGAGTGGGGGTATGTGACATCACTCGCAAGAACGCAGAGTTCACGTGACCCCTACTTCCTGTTGAGCCACCCACGTCACAGTATGCTTTTGTTTATGTTTCAGGATGTCATGATTACATGTCAACGTGCTGTGACAGCTTTGTCTGTAAATCCTGTAGCGCCATATCAACTTGCAATTGGGTGTTCAGATAGTACAGTTCGAATGTTTGACAGACGTATGCTGGGAACAAAGGCCTCAGGTATACACAACTATGTATTAACACATTAAGGACCGGCTATTTAAATATTTAAATCACCCTGGGGCCGCCGTTATTAAACTACTATCCTAACTTGTATACTGTTCACTTTGAAAATTAATATAAAATCTCCTAATTAATTTTATGAACTAAAGTTTTTGGAGAACACTTACCAGTGCTCCTAGAAGTGCTTGAGGGTGTGATATTTCTGGAAACAGTCCCCTTTGTGAAGTGGCATTACACAGAACCTGCAAATGTAGACATACTCCTTTTTTTTTGTGAACTGTGTAAACACAGCATTGCCTAGAAGGGTGCTTCCCCTTGGAATGTTCATTCTTCACAATTTTCATGAGGGTATGTTTCCGCATATCACCCAAGAGTCGCCCTGGGATGTCCACATGAGGCCTTTGGAGTTGATGGGCCCGGTCACACTAAGTCTGTGTCTGACGCTGGTTCTGCCACCACCATCTGGTCTGTAGCCCAGGCCTTTGCCACATTCATCAGAAATGCTTTGTATTTCAATTTTGAATCAGGGTTTAGATTTTTGTGATTTTTTTTTTTTTTAGATTTTTTACTGTCCCTGCAATGTTATTACACGCATTATTGTCGGAGCTACTGTCACTTTTACTGTCTGTGGCCACAATTCTTTGTTTTCCCCTGTCACTGCCGCTCTCTGAATCACCATGACTACACATCTCACAAGGCAGGTCAGCTAGATCATCGGAGAAGAATTTGTCCTAGTCCATACCCCACCACTAACTACTGGCTGATACATACAGCTCGAAGAGCAGCAAAGCATTTTCGTTTATAATGTGTTAAGAAAACAGCGAGGTCAAGTTACTGACAAGTAAGCAAACATCCCAGAGTTTTATTACGCCGTTGCGTGCAACTTGGGTGGTGCCAGAGCAAGGTATAGTGTGTTACAACCTAACATGTCCTAAAATCATGATATCATGCGACCAGTCTGCCACGTTTAAAAGCCAAACGCATGATATCGTGCGACCGGTCCTCAGTGTGTTACGTACTATGTGCTATGGTAAAGATTTTAAAGGGTTTGAAAAATGATAAATTGCACAGTTCTGGTTTATGTAGATATATGTTTGTTTTGTTCAGGGGGAGCAGAGACTGGAGGAACACTTCGGCCACTGTGCTCATTCACTGTGCCCAGCTTCGAAGACAGGTCATATCGAATAACATCACTCACTTTCAGTCCTGAGGGAGAGGAGGTTCTTGTCAGCTATTCATCAGACCATCTATACCTATTTAGTGTTAAGGTAAAGACAAACCATGTGAGCAAGCAGTTTAATGCAAAGTGTTATGTTAAATTTAAGAAATCTTAGACCGATATCTTTCTTTTATTGCTGGCCTACCTGATAGCGTATGTCATTGTTTTTGTGACTTCTTAATGGGAAGTTCTAGGTTAGTGTTTAAATTAGGCAAAGAATCATATATAATATCTTGTTAATTTGTAAACATCTTTCACTTTCTTTAGTACCACTTTCTCCATTGTATGCCTGTAATTAGTCTTTGTGATAGTGACAGTCGTAGCATTCATCTTACCAAATTTATGCACATGATAGTCTTTTTATGCAGTGTTTTCACTGTGGAAATGTACGTTGTTGTGTTCAAGTTCTAAGGTCTCCGATTTTTTTCCCCACACAATAATCATACAAAAAATTTGAAACTTTTGTCACTTTTCAATGTAATCTCCCTGCAGCTGTACACATTTTTCACAACGTCGACGCCATGATTCCATGGCCGCTGCGAATGTTTCTGTAGGAGTCTGTTTTGACCACTGGAAAATCGCTGATACAAAAGCAGCATGACTGGTGAATGTGCGACCATGGAGAGTGTCTCTCATCATTGAGAAAAGCCAAAAATCGCTAGGAGCCAGGTCAGGTAAGTAGGGAGCATGAGGGACCACTTCAAGGTTGTTTTCATGAAGAAACTGCTGTGTCGCATATGCCCGATGTGCTGGTGCATTGTCCTGGTGAAAGAGCACACGTGCAGCCTTTTCCGGCCGTTTTTCTCGCAGTGCTGGAAGGAGCTTGTTCTTCAAAACATCTTGGTAGGATGCGCCTGTCACCATAGTGCCCTTTGGAATGCAGTGAGTAAGGATTGCGCCATCTCTGTCCCAAAACATGGCCACCATCATTTTTTCAGCACTGGCGCTTACCCAAAATTTGTTTGGTGGTGGTGAGTCTGTGCTTCCATTGAGCTGACTGGCGCTTCGTTTCGGGATTGAAAAACGGCATCCATGTCTCATCCATTGTCACAATTGATGACAAGAAAGTCGCATTCATGGTTTCATCACGTGTCAACATCACCTGGCGAATTGCCATGCGCGCAGCCTTGTGGTCATCCGCCAGCATTCGTGGCACCAACCTGGAGGACACTTTCCGCATTCGCAGGTCTTCATGCAGGATTGTATGCACAGATCCCACGGAAATGCCAACTTTGGAGGCGATGTTTTCCACACTCAGTCGGCGATCGTCCAAAACAACTTTCTCAACTCGCCCAACCATGTTGTCAGACTGGCTGATACGAGGCCAAAATTGTTTTGGTTCGTTGTCACACAACGTTTGGCCTTCTTTGAACTGTCGCACCCACGAACGTACATTTTTCATATTCATGACACCATCACCACATGTCTCACTCAACTGGCGATGACTTTCAATGGGTGTCGCACCATGCAAGTGGAGAAAACGAATGATTACTTGCTGTTCTTGTAACGAAAACGTTGCCATTTTAAGTATCAAAAACACTCCTCACTCTCGTCGCCACCACTAGAATTCTGTGTGCCGTACAGTGCTGCCATCTCTGTCACGCATTCACAAAGAGTACACACGTATTTTAAACTAAACCACATGTGTCTATCTGCTCCCAGTCCTGAGAAAAAAAATCGAAGACCTTAGAACTTCAACACCCCTCGTGTTATCATGTGGTAAGTGACTAGAAATGGGTTTGAATTATTAATCAGATTTATTGGTCTCTTGAACCTCATAACTCCATGTAACTGTAACAGTTTCACAGATTACATATGTAACAATTCACTGTGGCACACGCTACGTCTTATTCTATGTTTTCACTCTGCGCTGCATGGAAATGGATCCCACAACAGTGTAGATTCCTCAGCTTCCTGGTTACAGTCTTCCATCAAGGGCTATACTCCATGCCCTTACAGCTCAAGTACTGCTCTTCGCAACAGCTCTTTCAAGACTCACTGGCTTGTCCTGCTGGTCCATGTTGTATAACATTAGGATGGACCGAGAAGAAAACCGCTTCCAGCAATTTTTCTAATGTTGCAAATGTAAGCATGGCTGTTGCTGCAATCGCATGCCATTGCCTAGTGATGGGTGTGTTTGCATAGCCATTCCTTAGCAATGGCTGTCTCTGCTGGCTTCCCATTCCACACCACACCATTGCGTAAATATACTATATACAGGGGTTGAACAAAATAGTGGAAACACTACAGATGATGTACACATTTCTTTATTAATATGGTGCTGGACCACCTTTTGCCTTCAGTACATCCGAAATCCTACTTGGAATGGACTCCTACAAGTTTTGAAGGTCTCTAGCAGAATTTTATACAGGGTGGGGTGCAGAAACTTCCTCTTTTTGGAGGCGAATAAAAGAAAAATTATTGCTGATAGACAAAATTTATGTTTAGCTAATGAAAGAACATACTTTAAAGTTTTAAATCATGTAGTTTTAAACAAAATATCTTGAAGGTGGTGGCCACTGTTCTCTATGCACTGATGCAACCGTTTTCTGAAGTTCCCCTCAGTTCTTGTTTGCTACTGTTCATATGAAGTCAGTAGTGGTTTTGATGATTACACTGACATTCCTGCTGGGTTGTCTTGTTTTATGGCTGTTGAAGCTGGATAGTGCGGCACGTATGTGTCTAGGAAGTGGTTGAGAAGACAGTGTGTTACCAAATGTTTAAAGCTCAGCTCATAATTTAATTTTCAGTTTCTCCTTCTGTGAGCACTTCTGGGTCCAGAATGCCTTGAATTATGTACGGAATATTTATTCCACAGTATACATTTATTTCTTCATTGGTATGCCCTCATGGAAGGATGTGATTGCCTGTTGATATCAGGATCATGGTGGCATTCAGCTTAAGTCTGGATCTAATGGTGCTTCTGCAGTGCAGCAGGAGTGTGATAAAAAAGGAACTCAAGGAACCTCTGCACCTGTTCGGAGACTGAGACTCAGAGGGGATTGGTCAGACACTGGACCTGATGCCCGCCCTGAGAGGGAAGGTGGCCGTCGAGGAGGTACAAACTGTTGTATTTTTAAGAAAACTTTTGTGCTGTGCTTCCCATTGTGTATCATACGAAAGGTATGTCTATACAACAGTAATTCTGAAGATACAAATAGGCAATACTGTGTCTACATTTGTTTTAATAGCTGTTGATGGCAATGCTACGTGTTTTGACCCTTTTCTTGGATCATCTTCAGGTGTACAAGAATACTGGTATTAGTCCCTGAATTGCCTCATTAATCAGTGTGAGTTCATATGCAAACAAATACATCTTAATTTAAATGCAGTTCACATATAGTTGAAACTTGCTGTTAAATTTGACAGTGAAAAGATAAAAATTAAAATTAAAATATTGATTAAAAGTATTTATTGCTACATATCCATTTGTGTGTTGTTTGGTTGATCCACTCTGGTAATGATAGTTATGATGTGGGGTAACTGTAACAGAACTGTTTGTAGTTTAATAATCAATTTCTCAAACAAAACAAGGGACTAACAGTGGTAACACCAACATCAGCAACCCTAGTGGAAACATGTAGCATTGCCTCCAACAGTTAATAGAACACTTGTTGATACAGTAGTGCCTATTTTATCTTTTTCCAGAGGTATTGTCATGTAGACTGACCTATTATATACCTTTCATTCTTGAACACAGTTGGACTTGTTTTTTTGTTTTTTTTTTTTTGAATATGTAAGACAGGCTACGTGAGATAAAGCCAAAAACAGATCAACAGGACACTATTATAATGTGCTAGATATACTAATGCAGTTCTACTGAAGTTACACATGTTATATTAAATTGTCAATATCTGATCATGTATTTCAGAAATTGCACAAGCACGGCCTACTCTGCATGCTACTTTAATGCAACGTATGACTGATGTTCTGTCACGGATGTTGAATGACCCAGCAACACGGGCAGCTCTCAGTGGAGGTGGTGAGGACTCTTTAGGAGGGGATGAGAATCAAGGGGGGGAAGCTCAGTCAGTCACATCACAGACAACTGAACCCTCTCCTGACATGCTTCCACATCAGCTTGTTTCAGATGAGACTGCTTTTACATCTCAGCCTTTGTCATCCACCTCTGTTTCTGTGCCGCCACTTTCTTTACCTGTCCATTCCTCAATGCCTGAATCAGTAGACTCCGATAATGAAACTGTTCCTTCCAGTAACAATATGCCATCTGTTCCATTTTCCAATAATAATTCAAGTGAACATGAAGTAACTGACTTTATAGCTGAAAGTAACAATGTTCTTGACCTTTCCAAAGTACCACAGTCAAATGTATGTTCAGCTGAACAGCCTATATCCAGTGGCAAATTAGGTTCAAGTGAGAGAAATGAGACTGGTGATGAAACCACGTTACCTGAACAAAGTGTTCCTAGTCAAGAAGACTTCAGTGATGGTCCCAGTGCCAGTAGAGCTTCAATGTTGATGCCGGATTCTGAACTTGTTCATCACAATATCAGTAACCTACAGGATCAGTTATCCACCATGAGAGAGGGATTTATTGAAAGGTAATTTTGACATGAGACTTACTAAATGTAAAAGTAAAGTTATAATTGTTGCTGTCCTTTGTTACCTAAGCATCATGCTATGAAGACATACACTGGAGTAGAGATACAGCTCTGATGTTCTTAACTTGACACCAGATCTATATGAGTGGTGAGGGTTCACGCCACTGCCAATTATTGCCAGGTAAACAGCCCCAGTACCCATTGTGTAGGAGGCTAGATGGGCCACAGAGCCAGTCTCAATGCTCGGGAGACGAGAAAAAAAATCTATTCCCTGCCAGGAATCAAATCCTCATCGCTTTGTTTTGTAACCTCTATCCTTGTGGCTATACCATCTGAGGTATCCTGGCTTCCGATGACTCAGTACATTACCTGTGTACTTTCAGACACTAATTAATGATTTACTTTAGCTAAGGCTATGTAGTTAATGCTGTGGGAAATTATAAGATACCTGCAGATTTCATGGGAAGCATACTGTTTTTTTCTTCTTCTTTTTTCTTTTTGTCTATTGAAGAGTATCACTGGTGTACTAGCATGATGCTTTAAGGCCATGTTCGGAAATTAATCTTTGCTTGATTGCACTCATCGCATAGATTTGTTCCCATTTCTCCACCCTGTGATGTTCTGTAATAAAAGACAAATTTATATACCTGCAGTTAAAATCTCCCATATACTGGTGGTAATTTACAGGAATGAAAAAGAAATGAGGCATAAATCCATGGATAAACTCTGTATGGGCTGGATGTCCAGAGCTCAAGTCCTTGAAGGGGCCGGGATCTTTCATTTCACTGTGAAAGCCAGACCTGGACTGGAGTTCCTATTTAGTGGTCATTGGAGATGAAGCAGGCAGAGTCTGGAGCTAACCACTGACTTTATCTAGTGCCAAGCTAAAAGCCTAGAATGTTACACTTGTTCCTATTTATCTTCATAGTGTGATGCTTGAGGACAGGGACAACTTTGCCTTTACCATTTTGCCCACATGCAATATAGTGAGAACAGTTTAGTTGCTTCAGAAGTTAATCAGTGTTATGTACAAAGTATTCTTAGCTGTCAGTGTCTGCTGAGAGATATGATAACATAATAGAAGCCCATGCTATCACAACATGTGGTAGAAGCGTATGGCATGTCCACAGCCATACTAAATCATGTTAACATGTCATGTAAGCATCGAACAGCTTAATCATACTCTTAGCCTTAACAGCATTTACTGGTATTGAAACACAGACTGTTTTTCTTTTATAAATAAGTAGTGTAATTACCAAGTTCCATTTTGGACATTTTGGTCTATTTAGATGTGTTTGTTTCATTGTTAGGTGACTGGAGTGTATACAGGGTTGTTTTCACTATTGTAGTGAAGAGTGGCATTAAGGGGCAGCATCAGTATAACAAAGAATTCTGAGCAGAAGTCATAAGGCCTACTTTTCACTTTCACTGACTTCTAGTCATACAGATCTTAAATGACAATGCTATATTCGGATGATGCAAATTTATAATCCAGTAATGAAATTCAATTTATCTTGTGTACTAGCATTCTGAACTCGTGTGCATTTGGTCGTAAGATCAAATTACAGCTGGGTAAAATTTTTATTGCTTGCTATTACAGAGTATTATTATTGTTGTTGCCTTCATTTTTGAAAGAACTAATTACTTTAATATAGATTTTATTGGTGTTACATTTGTCAGACACATCTTTCTAATTTTTCATTGTGCCATGTGTATAAGTGTTGATAAAAATTTCACATATAGAGCGGTTACATTCACAAACTGTACCAAATTCTGCATACCTAGCTTCAATAGCTAACCAATTATTGTGATCACATTAAAAACTGAAGCTTCATTTCCATTCAAGTGCCATTTTGTTCTTGCCTTTTACATAAATATTACCCCAACAGTTTTGTATTATTCAGAGATATAACTGACCTTGCTGCTTCATCTAAAACCAGGCACCATGTCTGGCATCTTATTCTTCTCATGCTAGGCAGCTTCCTCCTTCCTTCATAATGCCCTTTACTGCAAGTTCTAGTAATTATAAGTTTTCTCAGGGCTTGGGTACTGGGAGTGTCTTTGAAGTTATAAATGTTGTGGTCATGTTAATGGTACTCACTTGTCAGGAATATGTGGAAGACTATCCTTGATTGCTTATTTATACCAGCAAGCCTTAAAAGACAGTTTGTTAGTATGAATTTAACCCGAAGCCATATCAGTTCTGAATACTATTTATCTGTTGACAAATTTTCAAATTTCAGGTTACATAAACATCTGTCTTGAGCATGGAAAACCTAACTTTTTATTGAAGGATGTGTTATCCATATGACTGAATTTGAAAAGTTTTGTACTTAGTACATTTCTTTTCTTCAGTTTACATCCAAATTTGACTGAAAAATTTGAAACTGTTTGTTCAATTTGTCACAAGAAAAGTCCATATATTCCATTTGCGCAGTAGATGCGAATTACTCTTACATGAAATTCGAGGATTGTAGGAGGCTAAAAATAGGATTCTAGCATTGAAGAGAATTTGTTTTAATTCATAAATGTGACTTCAGAAATACTTGCCCACTTGGCATGAGCAAAAAACAGAAGACAGATGTATTTTTAATGGCTGCACTGCACCATAGCTCAAGTGGTTAGTCACTGGCTTCCCATCACGGTGGCCCAGGTTCAATCCTGGGTCTGGTCAAGTGGGATTTGTGGTGGACAAAGTGGTGCTGGGGCAGATTTTCTCCGAGTACTTCGGTTTCCCCTGCCAATCTTCATTCCACCAATTGCTCCACAGTCACCCTCACCTATCATCTGGGGCTGGTACAGTAGGCCAGAAGTGGCCACAGTACAAGGGATTTAGTCCCACCCCACTTGCAATAAAAAAAAATGTATTTTTAGCCTTAGTCTAAATGTATTAAAAGTTAAATAAATAGGTGACTAATTGTAATGTATAGAAAAAGAGGAATTGAAGAATGTATTACTGTTGTTACCTGGTACTGAGTTTTTTAAATATGTCCAAAATGTTTGTGTGAAGCCTGCTGCAGGCAAGTGGATGTAAACTTTATTTCTGGAGAGCCCTGCTAGTGGATGTAGAGGAATTTTGTCATCAGCTGTGTAATGAATCTGAATTTCAGACATGGGAGTGAGCCAGCTGTCAGCCTGTTATATTCGGACAAGAGTTCGACTGGTGCTAAAATATCTCTTGGTCTGGGTGATGAGGTGAGCCGTGAATTACATGAAAACAGCAGCAGGAACTCTCTGCAAGGTGATTACTGGATAGTGAAACTGAGCTGTATCAAATGCGTGCAGTGTAAAGTTACTTAATTCGTAGTCTGAACTATGAACATGAAGGCAGGTTTGTAAAGATTTCAAAGGAGGTGACGTAGCACATTTTAAGATCTGATCTTGGTATTCTTATGGTGAGATGGGATAGCCACTAGTGTAGCCAAGAATCAAACAACTGAAGACAAACCATGAGCGTTACCACTGCACCATTCTGAAAGGTCAGTGTAGTTTTGTGACGTGAATGTTGAAATAACATTTTCAGCTTAATTTCCCATTGAATTTCCAGTTCAGGGTGGATATCCTGTTTTATGTTAACATTTATTTGATTTGTTAGTTATTCTGAAGTTACATATTGTTACCTGTACACCCATTGCTAGGCAGCGAGTTGGTAAAGAAGTTCCTATGAAGACAGGTTCTTGGTAAGCAGTCCTTTGCTAGGTTACACAACACTAGATGAGGCTGTTTTTTATGTCATCTGCGACATGCCCAGTGCTGGTAATGGACCAGTGAACTCGCAAACTGACATGTGACGTGTTTTCTATGGGGTCCATGCTGAAGGTTTATAACAGACAAAATCAGTTGCTTGAGTCATGGTCCTGGAGAATTTTTAGTTGATTTCTGAGGTTCCAGCGTGATTGAACAAGAAATGGCAGGAAGTCTTCATAGTGATTTTAAGTGCTAGGGCAATCAAGTTATTTTCATCACTCGCACCCCACACATGTGACAATATTTTGCTATTTGGAATATTTTCTCACATCTTTTGTCATGGAGAAGGAAAGAAATCATTTGATGAAGAATTCTGTCTTATGAGATGTAACTGTATAGTCCATACCAAAATTTTTTTGCTACCCCTGCTTTATGCTGGTTTCTTGCTTGGCTTATTCTTTGACCCTGAAGAAGGATGTGACATGTTCCTCCAAAACATGAGTTGACTGTCAACAGACTGCACATCATTATATCTCAGAAGACAGAACTCTTCATCACTGTGAGAACCTCAAACCCTGCAAATCTTCTGATGATTTGTATATAAACATATTGATCATAAGTCAGATTGTTATTACAGAATAATATGTTATGAACATTTGAATAAGAAAACAGTTAAATTTGTATCTGATCTATATCTCTGATCAGTTCACAGTGCACTGTATGCATCAAAGTTGCCTTCATTCAGTTCAATATATCTCATAGACCCAAAATATTAACTTAAATGTACAAATTATGCAGTATATATGGAAAATCTGTTATCAGCAGTGAATGTGAGGAAAAGGAACCTTGACAAGCATAACTTATTTTCATTTCTGCATGATTCTTCATGATTTTGTTTTTTATTAACATTAGAGATTACAGACTTTTACCCTAGAGATGCAGACAGTATCCCTGGTAACCACATACCAGACTGTATGGTGTCAGCCAAGAGACCACAATCAAAATTTGCACTTCTGTGAAGAACCTAAAGTGTCAAAAACAGCAATCATCTTTATTTTTGATAAATTTATGGAAGGGGGCAGGGGGTTTCTGTTCAAACTGGAGTTGTCTGAAAATATGGTTCTCGCACATGCCTAGTATTCTTTATCTTTTGCTAGTAGAAATGGGTGCAGGAGAGAGAGTGCCCAGTCCACCATCAAGCCTTCAGTATGAATTGGAGACGACTGATGCGGTGCCAGGACCTAGTCAAGTCATGTCTCCTAGCATACAGGAACCAACCAACAGGTCCAGTGGTAGGCAGAGTTTTTGCCACGATTTCAAAATTGGAAAGATTCCAATTAGATTAAGGTTTGTTTTATGTGCTCAAGACATCCTCCCTGTGCAGACGTATCTAGTTTGATGTCGTACATCTTTTCGATCATGTGCTTAGCCAAATACAACTGTGTTATGTCATCTAGATCCTAGCTGTGACTAGGGGTCTAAGGTAAGGGTAAAGCTATCCCTGTAACAGGCCATGGAGGCCCATAGGGCTGTGATACATCAAGACTTCCACATATTCAGTCAGTCGGCTCACAGCAGTGAGGTTGTCATCTTTATGTGCGGCCACCTTTTACCCCCAGGAAGATTCCTGGTACTCATTTATGTTATAGGCTGAGTTGACCCCTAGGTCATAGTGTGGCTGGAAAGATTAGGCCAATTAAAAATACAGTGTCCTTATCGGGAATCGAACCCACAACCTTCTATCTTGTAGCATAGTGCCTCAACCAACTGTGCTACTGCATTCCCTGACTAGGGGTCTAGAAATACATTACTTAATTGCTTTTACTCATGAAATTTTTTTGTAGGACCTCAACTGAGAATTTTTTAATTAGTGCAAGGAAAGTTTGTCACATAAAAGGCACAGTTTTGAACATGAACTGTGAATAGTTGCTCCACAGTTTTAATTCAGCCTTTATACCTTGAAGACTTCTTAAAATTGAACTTGAAATAAGGAAAAAAGTGGGTAGTCCATGCTATGGTATAATGCAGAAATCTTATAATTAATAAAAATCATGGAGCAAAACTTAGAAATTGTAATTTATTAAGAAAGTTTTCTGTGTAATTTTTTACTTATGTTGTGGTTCACTTGAACTAAAATTATCTTCTAAGGTCACAGAACATTCCTCTCATACCTAAGTATAACTTATGTAACACCCTTGCATGCAATTTTTGTCCTCTATTTCTGCAGTATGCAGGAGATATCTGAGCAAAAACCAGAGAAACTGAAATCAGAATAAGCCGCGACACACACTTCCATCCTTACTTATGCCCTTGAGGCCAGTTCTTTGTCCACTTGTTATTTCACTGTAGTGCCACTGCTTGGCTCTTTCTCTCTTGTCACTGAACTGAAAACTGATGAATGCTATAATTTGCTGGCTTACTAAACACAGACTGACTCATGGCGTGAACTCGTCTGCTTCTTTGCTGCACTAAACTGAACTGACTCTGACAAAGGCTTTACAGTTACATTATGAGTGTGGTCACCCTTTGGGAAGGTTCGAGAGTGACTTTGGCCTTTGGTGTCAGCTGAGCAGTTTCCAGAACATGCCAGAGGGTGCAAAGAGGGAATCTCAATATTTTGATCAGGTCAGGAAATTTGATCCCCCAGCTCCCACAACAGTGTGACAGAGTAGGAGCCATGCTGTCAGCCATTCCCTTTTTGTCACTGAGGTTTTTGCATATTCTAACCAGTGGCAAGATTATATCTTGTTACATCACTGATGAATGTGCACATATGACCTGAATTTCTTAACAAATATACATTTCTGAAGAGCAGTGTTGGCTGGCATTATTGTTGTTTTCCATTTTGTGTTTAATAAAGTTTAATGTACATCCTGGATTTATGGATGGTAAAACTTATGATATATAGTGAATTTTATTATCATGTTTCTTAATTTTCATGGGGTTGAAATTTAGGTTAAGCCTTTTTTTTTATATAAAAAGCAGCTCATTGTCCAGAACGATTGTGACATTAAATTATTAGAGTGTAGTTCTTCTCTGCTTTCTTTAACCCCATTATTTCTATTGGCTTATGGCCTCAAATTCTCACTTAATCATAAGGGTCAGTGTTGGATTTAAGGATTTATTAAATTTAACTTGCCATGTGTGTGTTTTTGGACAGTATGAAATCTAACCAAAAGGGGCAACAGTTCAAGTACTTCAGTATACTTTAGATATATATAATATCTCAGAATCTTTGTATGTATGTTAATTATTTTACAGAGGGCATATTGTCTTAAAGTGCTAGATTTCAGGACAAAGCAGCATATAACAATTGTGACTTAGTAAATTAATTAGTAGCATTGTCATAAATTGGGTTTATGTGACTCTTAATTGTGAGGGTGAGTAATCATGAATAGAATTGAAAAGTTCAAGTGGAATGGAATAGCACATACATAGTACAAATTCATCAAAGTTGAAGTGTTAGAATAAACTTTCTGTTCAGCAAAGGGAACCTAGTTATATGCTACTCTAGTAAGTGATAACAGTAAAGTTGTCCATGTATAAGACTAGGATATGTTCAGATGAGACAGAACGTTCTTCTGAAATCACAGAGTGATAATTAGAAGACTTTATAAAGAAAGCAGTTAATTTTTTGAAGTATGTGACATTTTCATGATGACACTCTTAGTAATAATAGGAATGATAAACCATCCAGCTTGGATGTATAGCTATACATGTTTTGGTCCCTTGGGACCATCCCCACTGTCATGATAATAAAAGTAAATTATTTTTGTTTTGTTACATATGGGTAAAGAGATGATGTCCCAGAGGAATCCTAGCTGCAGTGGCAAAGAGAAAGTTCTTAACATCCTAACTGGAATTCAAAATCTGATGCAGATACTGCCATCAGAGCTGTCAAATATCTTTCATAAATAGTATGTTGCATATATGTACATGGTCTATTTTCTAACTGCATCGTGTTGCAGGTACTGGATATGATGGAGAAGATGACTATAATGATAGTGATGATGAAACCATGCTTATGACTGCTGAAAGCAGAAGGTAGTATTAGTTAAATATATGCTATGAATATGTTTTACCTTCATTATGGTCTACACCATTATGGAGGATCAAGAAAATTAGGAGGTAGTGGACGAAATGGAAGGCATTGATTTCTAGACTCTGATTGTATGTTACTTTAGTGGATGACGGTATCAGGACTGTAAAGGAAAACACAGAACTTCACTTATTGATGCTAATGAGAAATTAAATACAAGATAAATTTTTGGAAAACCAGTATGTGTCTGTGCTGGATACAAGGTTCTCACTGCAGCAACCATGAAGAGTATTACCTTATGGGATGTGATGCTGCCTACACAGCATCACATCCCATAAGGTAATACTCTTTATTGCATATTTAATTAACAACGCAGAATGAAATCCTTTTGTTTAAAAGGCTTAAATGAGGTACTAAAGTTAGGCATTCCAAGCCCAGAGTTGGATGATCATCTGTCAGGGAATCACTGACATTCTAAGTGCAGTGATACTCCATAAAATACTCACTGCAGATCCCACCATCAGGCTTGGGCCTCTTTTGCCTCTGTGTGGAGAATATACATCCTCAGGCAAGAGGGTATTAAAGCTAATGCTGGAGATACAGTTTCCTGGCTCTGTAGAGCTACATGAGGGGGACATTATTCTCAGGCCTTCATCTGGTCTTGTAAGTCCAGGGAGTAGGGACTGGGCATTGGGTGGACTGGTAGTGTCCCACAGCTGAATCAGGTGGACGGTTCTTGGATTAAATGCCCATAAATCATTCAGGAGGGATGGCATTTTCCTGGCTGTTATGTTCGTGAGTGCAATAATATTTGCATTTAAGATTTTTGTAGGGAGTCAGTAATTTGAACCTTGAACTGGAAAAAAAAAAGGAAACTTGAGTGCAAGATATTTGAAATGTATGAAACAGTTATACTACTACAGTCAATAATTTCATGGACTGTGGTTTTGTTGCACCATATTACAAGATACTCGCATGCACTTACCCATATCCCTCCCTCAAAATAGTTGCTGTTGGCTGCTGTGCATGTCTGCCAATATTGGTATAGCCCCTGAAAGATATTTGCAGGAAGGTTCTGTACAGCTTCCCTTGTGACAGTGACGATCTCCTTGGCTGACTGAAATCGATGCCCATATAGCTTTTCTTTCAAGCAGGGAAAGAAAAAGCAATTGCAGGGTGCAATATCAGAGGAGTATGGAGGGTGTGGCAAAAGGGTGACCTATTTTGCCAGTACCTGTTGGATAAGCACAGAGAGATGTACTGGGGCTTGTCATGAAGCAACAGTCACTTCTTCCTGTGCCAAAGCTCAGGACACATACGACAAATTTAATTGTGTAGACGGTAAAGGATCTCCTTTTAGTGGGGCTTGTTTACAATTTCTTCTTCCGGGATCAATTCTATGTAAACAGTTCCAGATGAGTCAAAAACCAGTTCAAGCAGTACCTTGCCTTCTTACTTGTCCTTTCGTGGTTTCTTCTTTCTTGACAATGATGGTGATTTCTAGGTGGCTGATCTTCGCTTCGGTTGCGGATCATACAGAAAACGCCATGTTTCATCTCATGTTATGATCGGGTTGAGAAACATCCCAGCTTTGTCTGCACTATCGATCAGGCTACTGCAAATGCGCATGTGATCATCACATTAGTCTTGCATTATGACTTGTGGAACACTGTGCTGGGTAACATGAGAGATGTTCAGGTCATCAGACAGAATTTTGTGGCAAGTATCATGGCTGATCCCTGCTACTGCTACTGCTACAATTTCATTTGGGAGCGGTTGGCACGCACCAGTGTTGCAACATCTTGGATCTTGAGTTCAGTTCTGACAGTTCTTGGCTGACCGATATGCTTTTCATCTTCCAAACTGTCTCTCCCCTGTGCAAAACGTTTGTGCCACCTAAACACAGCACTGTGGCTGAAGGCTTCTTTGCTGTACACTTGCTTGATCATCTGAAACATTTTGGTAGTGGATTTGCCTAATTTTTGGCAGAACTTGATGTTTTCCCATTGCTCAAACTGCAACATTCTTGATTTCCGCGGCTCGCAGACTACCTTTCACAACATTGACTTTCTTTCTGAATACACCACATGCTCATAACTGCTTCTGAGACAAGGGAAGAACGGACATGGCACAATCTCGTGGCTGCACATATCCACTGTAGTACATAACAGCACCACTGTGAGGCCAATCCACAAAGTTATTGACTGCACTATGTAGTAATTCTTAATTGTTAAAATTATGGCTGAAGTTATTATGTTTTGGATATTAAGATACAGATATTTGTTTTAGATACTATAGGGTTCTGACGATGGTGTATAACACACAGAGATACTGCATTTTCGGACTTTGTCCATTGTCCGGATTCTAAATAACTAAGAAAGGACACAACGTTTTGGAAACTGGATCTGTTTCCTACCTCAGGTGAGGGAAGACACCTACTCTGTTGGGTCCCTTAGAAAGAGCTAGCTTCAATCACTGGACAACTGATGTCACAAAACACTAAGGCTTGGGTGTTTATAGCCTTAGTGTTTTGTGACATCAGTTGTCCAGGGACCCAACAGAGTAGGTGTCTTCCCTCACCTGAGGTAGGAAACAGATCNCACCCAGTTTCCAAAACATTGTTTTTTTTCTTAGTTATTTAGAATCTGGAAGATGGACAAAGTCTGAAAACCCAGTATCTCTGTGTGAAATAGTTGATTTGTCATTTCTTCCCCTTTCTTTGCATTGTACCCAGAATTATTTGTTTTATGCTCAGATATATTCATCCAATTGAAGAACACATGGATGAGGCAATAGCATCGGTAAGACATGACAGAGAGATCATGTTTGATGAGCAGAGCATCCTGCAACCAGCTGTGAAGCAGAAATACAGTGGTCACAGGAATGCCAGGTACAATAATTTGCAGTAATGGATGTATGTGTGTGTGTTGGGGGGGCGGGTCCAAAAAGTGCACAAATTATTTAGTAGTATGTTAAAAGTCTGCCAGCAACATATGCTGGAAGACCACCTCAAACAACTCAAAATGAACCCCTTTCAGCAAAGGTTATAGTTGGAAATAGAAAGAAGTTAGAGGGAGCTAACGTGGAGGAAGAGGGAGGATGTTCCATCGGAAGGGTAAATTTTTGTATTAGAGACTGCTCAACAGTACAATTTGTTGGTACCATCATAGCATAGACCTTTTTCATTTGAGACTGATTGTTAAAGTTTGATGAACACTCTCTTTATCCTTCCCAATTTCTTCTATTATCATTCTGATAGTCTTTGTTTGATTTTTATGAACAGGTTGCAGATTTACCTTTGAGACTTCAGCAGGGTGTATATTAGGACTTCATGTAATTGAGACATTAAAGTTTATCTGTTAAAGTAGCAGCTGCATTAAGAGTCTCCAACAGTTTGTAAGACATTTAAGGGTGCTTCCACTGGGCATGCCCATCTTATTTTGAAGATTATATCATATTGATATTTTGCACTTCAGTACAACACATTTTTGTATCATGTTTTCATACAGTTAAGAATTTTGAAATTCTGTATGGTTTGAATTTAATGTATGTGCTTTGCTGTAGATTTAACCACGTTTTCAAAATGTATATTATGTATGGGGAAAAATACTAAATATACTTTGGTACCTACACAGTGTGTCCAGGTTCTGTTAGCACTCGTTTTTCTTTAATTTTTCCCTGCAATGCCATCTGTTGGTGAGTTGTGGCATTAAGATTCTTGAAGTTTCAGCTGTGGCTGTCTATAATTTCAAAGCGCAAGCATTGCTGCATCAGTGTTCCGACCTTGAATGTAACACTAGTGTTCTGACGCTTGTTGGAAAATGGCAGTTGAACAGAGAGCCAACATCAAATTTTGTTTGAAGTTAGGCAAAACAGCTGAAGAAGCATACAAAATGATGAAAAGTGTGTACAGTAGTGATTGCTTGAGTTGTTCAAACATTTTTTGATGGTATGCTATATCTTGTGATGGCAAGGAGGAAATTGAAAACGTTCCACATGCATCAAAGCTGAGAACAAGTTGCACTGAAGAAAATGTAAAAAAGTGACCAAAATCCTTGCATCACACAGACATGTTTCTGCAAGACTCATCGAGGAGCTTTTGGGAATACCAAAATGTACTGTGCATCAAATTTTGACTGAGGATTTGGGCAAACGGAAGGTCTATGTGTGGTTTGTACTGCACGCGCCGTAAGGCGATGGAAAACATGCCAGGCATGGGTTGACCGTAACATGCAAAGGCATGTTACGGTCAACCCAAAGTGATACAAAATTTACAAAATTGATTGTTACTGGTGACGAGACATGGTGTTTTCAATATGACCCTCTCACAAAGTGGCAGAGTGCAGCATGGTTAAGACCAATGAAGCTGAAACCAAAGAAAGTGCGCATGCAGAAGAGTCAAGTAAAGACACTGCTAATCGTTTTCTTTGATTCCAAAGGAAAAATTCACAAGGAATTTCTGCCAGAAGGTCAAACATTGAATTCTTATTATTATCTCGGAGTCCTCAATCATTTGTGGGTGAGAATTCTTCGAATTCGACATGAATATCGAGAGCAAGGTTCCTGGTCGCTCCTCCACAACAATGCCCCACCCCACAAATTGAACATGTGCAATTTTTTGGCCAGGAAAGGTTTCACAGTCCTTGATCATCCTTCATATTCACCAGATTTGGCTCCAGCAGATTTCTGGTTGTTCCCAAAAGTTAAGTTGGCGATGAAAGAAGACTGTCACGACACCATCCAAGACATCAAAAGGGAATGTACCGCAGTTTTAAATGCGATTCCACAAAAGGAGTACAGTGACTGTTTTTTAAAACTTTTCGATCGATTCCAGCTGTGTATTGATTCAGAAGGAAACTATTTTGAATAAAAAGAGTGTAATTTTGAAAATAATTCATGTCTTATATTTTTAATGAACACAGCCCTAACCGAACCTGTACACACTGTGTATAACATGAACAGTCAATCCACTTGTTAACCTCTTAGAAGAAAGAAGTATACAATTGAATATAAGTATTGCATGTGCAGCTGCAGTGCTTGCCAGTAATGAAGATCATTTAAACATCAAACAGTCTCTAGCTTCTCAGTAATTTTAATTTTGAAACCCAGGCTAATGAGCTTGCTCAGGTCCTGGCAAACTTGATCCATATACCAGTAAATCATGTCGGATGATGTGGCAAGCCCCCCTCATTTTATCTCAGTATACATGTCACGTAGTTAAATGAGTGTATTCTGGGTACCTGATAGCCACTACAATTCAGCATACCTCTCTGTTAATTCAGGACAATGATTAAGGAAGCCACATTTTGGGGTACTGACTACGTACTCTCAGGATCAGATTGTGGCCATGTGTTTATATGGAATCGCTGCTCTGGACAGCTGATAATGCTGCTGGAAGCAGATCATCATGTTGTTAACTGTCTTCAGCCCCATCCTGTCCTGCCTCTATTAGCTACATCAGGCATTGACTATGATGTCAAATTATGGGCACCACTTCATGAAGAACCCAGCTTTGACAGTGATCTGGCTGCTATTGTAAGTAGGAGAGCAAAATTAAAATGACATTTCTTGAAAGAATTGCATCCAGCACCTCTAATATAATTTCCATCATGAGCTTCCTTTGTTTCTTTCTATATCTGTGTGTGTGTGTGTGTGTGAGAGAGAGAGAGGGAGAGAGAGCAAACACGGAATTCAGGGAAATTAAGAGGATAATGGTTTTTGAATGCAGTGTCCTAGACACTTAATTTTTCATAGGTGATGGGGAGTAATCTCATCCATGAGGTGTTTTGATAGAAGCTGGCAGGCTATCTGATTTCAGGCTACAAAGGAATGTTACTGTAGTAAGTACAGGAGATGTCTCTTGGTTGCTGTGTCCATGTGATGTTTCTGGAATGGAATTCACCCAAAATTTATAGTAGGTAGAGCAGGTAGTAAAAATGAAGGCACAGAAAACTGATATGCAAAGTAAAAACTAAAGCTTTTTGTAACATCTAAAGGCAAAATATCCCTAAATTTTAAAATTGTGTACCGTGAATAAGGTAATGGACTTATACAGTCATTACTTTATTCATTGTTCTTGAAAATGCTCTTTGCTGCAGTGCAGTCCTAAAAGATATTTAAATATGGCAGCCTTAACAAATGGGACAAATGACACAAACTCCGTCCTAAGTGCAAACAATATATATTATATGTCTTTGATCTTGCTCTCTTCTACACTGCATGTTTCGGCCTCTAACGCCCATCATCAGGTGTATACTCTTACGTTGCTGCCACACTGAACCCAGTCTAAAATTTAACATTTAAAAACACATTGTTACTTTCTTCATTATTATCAACATCTACCTCGTTGATATCTGTCTGGTATGTCTGGTATGACGTGTGCAAAATAATCTACATACCAGGCAGATATCAACGAGGTAGATGTTGATAATAACGAAGAAAGTAACAATGTGTTTTTAAATGTTAACTTTTAGACTGGGTTCAGTGTGGCAGCAACATAAGAGTATACACCTGATGATGGCTGTTAGAGGCCGAAACATGTAGTGTAGAAGAAAGCAAGATCAAAGACATATAATATATATTGTTTACACTTAGGACGGAGTTTGTGTCATTTGTCGTGTAGAGTGCAACAGGATGCTTAAATATAATATTGTTAACAAATGGGCATACAGAAACTAAGAACTGGAGGCTTTAATTCTGTCCAGCTTACAGAATTTAGATTTTTAAATTCTCATTTCCATTAAAATCAGTACTTTGAGATGGTTATTAATGGTAAATCAGACATTGCTTAATTTTTGTATTCATTGAAGCAATCATGAGGAATGAGGCATTTTGTGCTTCAGTGTTTGTGCACTTTGTTGATATATAAATCTGATGTTCTATATTTAAAATGTCTTTAAATCTATGTGTTGAACTCAAAAGTGTCAATTATGTTAAAGTTGCAGATACTTTATACTAGTGGCTGTGCATACTCAGAATTCAATCATAACATCCTGTACTGAAAAGATACAAAATACTGGTTTCAACAAGTTCTAAATAAGTATTTTTCATAAAAATGATTAATGAGAATGACAGAGAGGCTGTTTCTGACAGATGCACTTAATGGCAGAATTTATACTACTTACAACCAGTGCCTGCAGTGCTTTGTCACTGCACTGTGTTGCCATAATCATACTGACCATTGTGATGTTGTTGTACACATCAAAATATATTCAGAAATTATGAAGACATCTTGCCACATGCTGGTTCAGTAAATACATATAGTGTATGGGTGTTTGTGTTCCAGTTGACTGAGAGGAATGAAGTGATGCTAGAGGAGACAAAAGACACGATTACTGTCCCAGCTTCCTTCATGATCCGTATGCTGGCATGTCTCAACCAGATTAGAAGAGGTAAGATTAATGTGTTATAGGCACTGAAGGATCTTTAAAAAGTAACTTGAATCCCAAACCTTACTAAGTGCAAGATCTTTTCATATAATTTGTATAAAAGTTTGCGATGTCAGCAGTGACAAGACCAGCTTTTGACCTGCTTTACTTTCTCTATATTGCCCATTTTCCAGCTATAAGCCTGCCCTTTTATAATATTCATCTCTCATAAACCATTCCAAGAATAAGCCACATTGCCACTTTCCAAAGGCAGTCCAATAGTCCATGCTTGGATAGCAAATACTTGCTGTTTACAGCAATCATGGTGCAAGAGAATGCCTAATGTATTGTAACGTGTTGGGAATCCAGAAGAGTCACTTCTATGGAAATGCTAGAACAGACCATTGCATAGGAAGTAACAATAGCGGCACTGTAATCCCAACAGTGAGCCATTGTGTTGAGAACATCGAATCTCCACGGTTACGACGAATACGCGAAGCGTTCCCACAGAGACAACGCAATAACAATGGGTCATTGCGTAGGAATCGCGGAACCAACAAAGCAACGTTTCAACTGCTATAACAGAGGGTTCATTTGCCTAGCAGCGGCTGAGGGGATAAATAGCCCAGCTTCGACGAGAAGCAGCCAGTCTTTATCCAGCCGTCTAGGAAGTCAGTCTTCGTCCAGCCGCCTACGAAGTCAGTCTTCATCCAGCCTTCTTAGAAGACAGTCTTTGTCCAGCCACCTAAGAAGTGAGTCTTTATCCAGCCTTCGAAAAAGAGTGTCTTAGAACAACCGCCAGAGAGGAGGGTCCAGTACTGCCGAGATGTAAGCAGTAATTGTAACACTGCAAGTGGAAATGATTGTAAAGTGTGTGTAAGGCGAGTGAACGGAATAAATTCGCTATACCAAACAACGGCGTGAACTTATTTGTAGTGTGACACACACACAACACGCTACATTGGTGTCAGAAGTGGGATATCGAACTTAAAACACGCTACACTGGTGTCAGAAGTGGGATATCGAACTTAAAACACTCTACACTGGTGTCCAAAGTGGGATATCGAACTTAAAACACGCTACATTGGTGTCAGAAGTGGGAACAACCGCCAGAGAGGAGGGTCCACTACTGCCGAGATATTGTAAGCAGTAATTGTAACACTGCAAGTGGAAATGATTGTAAAGTGTGTGTAAGGCGAGCGAACGGAATAAATTCGATATATCAAAGAACGGCGTGAACTTATTTGTAGCGTGACACACAACACGCTGCAGTATGTTAAAAGTAGAGTGTTAATGATTAAACAGAAACTGGATCTAATTAGTAAACTTGAAAATATTTTTCTAAAACATCTTCCTTTTAGTTGTGGAGTAAAAGAAATGTCGTTCATAACAGTAGGAACAATAAACAGAATAATTAAATATGCAAACAGTGTTTCTTGAAGAGTAGTGTATGATGTGATAGTTCTAGTGATGAATTGGCTCAGGCATGAGATCTTGGAGAGGAAATAGCACCACATGTCCTCTTCTGACATTTGAGACTTCAGTTAAAACTCAAATTGAATAGGCTGTGCATATGTGTTATTTCGCACACAACTGCAGACTTCAGTATGAGTTTTAACTTGAATCAAGCGGGAGCATTTTGTTTTGTATCATTACAGTACACTATTATTTAAGTGTAACATATACAATTTTAAATTTGTGTGAGATTCATTATTTTCCATTTGCAGTTAATGCATCATTGTATTGGAAGTTACCATTAACCGATATGTCTGAAAGCATTTCCACGCTGTCTTTGTTCCTTGTACATCTCCACAGTTATTTTAATCAACTCATAAGCAGTTAATCCACGAACAACAATGACACTCTCATATAGTTGAATACTAGAATTGAATTGTGTGTGATTTCTTGCATCTGCTGTGTATGTATTGTCACCTTTAGAGAATATGATTATCTTCAAAGTAACTTGCCTTTCAGTGTTATACATGCACTCAAATGATTTGACCATGTTTGGGATCGAAATCATTTTCTAAAATTCCATGTACTACTCTTATTGCTGGGGCACACGGTAGTGTATTTGGTTGAGGCACTATGCCATCCCGATGAGGTCATTGAATTTTTTCAATTGACCTAATCCTTCCAGCCGCACTATGTCCCTGGGGTTGACTCAGCCTCTAACAGAAATGAATACCAGGAAGGAATTAAATAATTTTCCTGGGGAGTAAAGCACAGCCGGCGCATAAGGCTGACAACCTTAACACCGTCTTTGAGCCGATTGTCTAGATAATGTGAGACCCTCAACATATCACAACACTATGGGCCTTCACGGCCTGTTACAAGGATATCTTTATTTTTTTTTTCTCTTATTGCATTGCTCTGATGATTTTAAATGATTCAAAATGACAAAATGAGATATTTTGCAGAGATTTTTAGTTTGGGGAACATGAAATAGTCAGAGAGGGCCAAATCATGTTGTGAATACAGTGGGTGCCCCAACACTGGAATTTGGTTTTGGGCAAAGTCACTTAACTTGAGATATTGTTATAATGCAGAATCCACTTACTTGGTCAAGGATTTGGTATTTTTCAGTGGATATTCTGCTATAAGCATTCCAAAACTCAAAGTTAGCCTGCTCAGTTGACTGTACTGGAGCAGCAGATTAATACTGTATAATTTATTTGGTATCAGCATACATTTTCACTTTAATTTTCACATTCCAACTTCTCTCATTTCCAGCGAGACTGGACTTCTCTGTTGGAGATTGTGAATAATATGGGAAGATCCAAGTCCCATCACTGTTCAAATAATACTTTCATAAATAAATCCTCTTACTATAGAGGCAACTTCAAGATTTTATTCTGTTTGTTTGCAGGAGCACGGAATCGAACCAGAAATGGAAGAAGACAGAATTCAGGGGAAGATTCTGGGGCTCGCAATTAACAGTTGAGAGGAAGAATCAACTGGAAATAGAGAGAAGATGGAAGTGAATAATAATAACAACAACAATAATAATAATAAATTATATGCCTGTTGCATATTAAAGTGTTTTATCATTGTGAGTATAAACACAAAACAAGAATGTTAGCCTTGATTACATGCTAATATTCAAAATTACTTCATGAAGTACTGCACTTTGTTATGTTTTCTTGTTATTTCATCTGTACATTATCATGCTGGAAGTTGTTTTTGTTCATGTTTTGTATTTATCAGTAACACATTGACTCAGTAGACTTTATTCATTAAATATTTAAGAAATATGTTATCATGTGTTTTATATCTCCATGCTGTATGTGTGTTTCTGTCCGTGCGTGCATGAGTGAGTGAGTGAGAGAGAGAGAGAGTGTGTGCACACCTGTTCATGCACATGCACGCTCTGCTGTGGTTGCACTCGTTTTGTGTGTGCATCTGCACGCACATGCATGTCACCCCCCCCCCTAAGTTTTGAATGAAATGACTGATTTTCAGAATGTTTGATATGAATATTATGCCATTGGAGGCCAAATTGTATTATTTCGTTTCTTCAGTTACTAATAATGTCATGGAGGATACGCATATTTGTGGGGTTGAGACTGACCCTAATGCCGTTCAATGCAGTGTGCCTCATTATTCCATGCTGTATTATACAGGATGATGTCTGGACATGAAAATAAGTTTTAAAATTCATATACCCTATCAACATTCCTTAAAAAGTTATAGCCATTAGAAAATGTCAGCTCTGCTATCACATTCTGAACAACAGACGTTCTGAGAGCATTTTGCTTGTGGTGTGTGATTGCTGTTGAAATCCATCTGCCACGAAACTCTTTTAAGTAATGGGCTGAATAGGCTTGCATGCTCACATGACTTGAACTCTCTTGATTTTGTCTGTGGGGATATTTTAAAATCAAGTTCTGTGTCTATGCAGTTGATTCTAGAGATCAACTGTGGCTTTGAATTCAACAGTTTGCAAGTGAAGCAAAGAATACACCCAGAATATACAAAGAGTTGTGAGTTTGTCACACAAAGCTGAGTTGTGTATTCAGACATGGAGGCCGTTTCAAGCTCCTTTTGTAAGAAAGGAAAAAGAAACGGTTATTAGCAGCACTTCGGTTTGTTTTCTTCTTATACACACCCTTTTGAACTTGGGAACTATTGAAGGTGTGGCTGTGGAATTTGAAATTAGAATTGCTGTGAGTTTTTAAGGAATGCTCTCTGAGGTACATATTCATATGGACTTTACTTAGTTTGATGTCCAAAACCATCCTTGGTTATGTTAATTATCCTGTGGAATGTATAACACACAGTAGCTGTGTGAAACTGTTCAGTTCATCTTCATTTTAACAGCAATAATGGAGGAACTATTGGAGCTCAGAATATGAAATTTAGTATGAAGACAAGACATAAACATTCCTGCAAGTTTAGTATGAAAATCTGTAGGTTGCATATAACAGCACTCTGTAACTTATTTATAGTTGCCTGCAATATAAATAATTCTGAATCAAGAAGGATTCAGTTCCATGACCATCTTCCCAGAAGTGCAGCAAGCCAACACATGAGCTAAATTGTATTTTATTGTTGGGTTATGAACTCACATTTCCAAAATATAATATTAACAATACAAAATTCATAGAACTAGAAGCCTACACATTAGGTAAATAGACTTTATGAATTCAGCTTTGAACTTATTTTAGTTTAAAAGCTTTTACAGTAAGATGATATGACAGCATCGATAATTTACTCTAATTTCGGTGATAACTGTATAAGAACACAGTTAGAAACTTCATTAGAGTACTCTTTTAGACTTTTCCATGTTATTTGATATCATGATCCTATTATTATACTATGCATGCCATAGTCTGGACATGTTTCTTTGATGGGGGTAACTAGAAATATGTACAGAATATTGGTGGAGAAGCCACTTGCAGGCTCCAAGTAGGAGATGTAGAATAATGTTAAAGATTACTTGTTAGGAACGTGAATGTGAGGTGGATGAAACTGTCTTAGGATCATGTCCATTGTTGGGCTTTGGTTCTACTAGTGTTAGGCCCCTGTAGGTCATATACCATAGTATTAGCATAGTTGTATTATGGGTGTGTGTATGATGAATTGGCCATGAGAAAATAGCATGCAAGGCTTTTGGTGGGGAAACCTCTTGAAAGGAAAATGCAGTATCAGGATAGTGTTGAAACATGTCTGAGGTAAAGTAGTCATAACAAGTTGCAAAATGACATGATCCAGTGGTCAGGTTATGGGGTCAACAGATCTGGCTGTATTGGGTTGGAGGTGACTGATGCTGAATTTTGGTTTTATGTAGGGAGTATCATTTTGCGGTGATACCACAAACAGATGCAATGCCAGGCAAGAAAAGACATCAACACTGCTGACAGTAAACTGCTTTTTGGTGTCCATGACTTGGAAATATAAAGGTTCAATTCAATTCAATTTTAATTTATTCTGTTGATCCATACCGGTACAACCAGTGGATATAGAAAAGTCAAAAATACAAGACATTACAATATTAATAAATAATGATAGATAAATAAATAAATAAGACATGCAATCGTTAAAAGATTTTGTAGAAAAAAATAAAAATAATAGAACACTGTAAATACTGATACTATGTAGTTACTATTACCATCAGAAATACTTATCTGCGATGGTTGGACTTTATTAGCGGCAAAACTGCTGTAGAGACGCCATGCAACAGAACCAAATAATGTTGCTTATACCACACATTAGTTACATACCTACCTTACCTCAGAGCAAATGGACTCTCCCTTCCCACATCATATGCATGCGTGTTGATTCCTAAGATAAAGGAACCACTTTGTGACATTTGCCTCAGAACTGTTCCAGAGATTCTTCAGGCAGTACACCGCTCCAGTCGAACTATCAACACAACAGGCACTGCTAAAGGTATTCTATGACTTCCACATCGCTGGCAACAGGTTGTACACAATGCTGGTAACTACATTGAAGGACAGTAAAACTTTGAAACTTGCATCTATTTTGTATCAGTTGTAAATAAATAGTTGCCACTATTAAAGTTCCAACCCTCGTAGTTTTATGCATAAAAAATTCATAGAATGGAACACTGTAAATACTGATACAATGATGTTACTATTACCATCAGAAATACTATCTAGTTTTATGCATAAAAATTCATCCACAGTATAAAAAGAATGCTCATGCAAATACTTTTTAATGCTTTTTAAAGCTTTCAATATCACATGCCAAGTCCTTAATGTCAGCTGGAAGATGGTTATATATCTTAACGCCTCTGTAGGAGGGAGGGACTTTTATGAAACATCGTCAAGTGAGCCATTACTTGAAAAAAATTAGAATTATTCCTGATATTAAAATTATGAATTTCAGAATTTTGTATAAAAATGATTTATTGGTAACCATAAACAGAGCCAAGGAGAGTATGTACTGAGATGCTAGAGGCGGTATATTTAAAATCTTTAAAAATTTGTGCAAGAATCCCTGGGTCTTGCTTCCATTAGTATTCTAACCATTCGCTTTTGGAGTCTGAAAATATTCATACTGTGGGAAGAAGTTCCCCAGAAAATTAATCCATATGTTATAACTGACTGAAAATAAGCATGATAGATTACCTTTAAGGAATTTAAAGATAAGAAAGGTCTGATTGCTCTTGCAATATAACACGCTTTGTTTAATTTGGATGCCAACATATCGGTATGACTCCTCCAAGACAGATTATTGTGAAGTACTAGCCTAAGAAACATTAGTTCCATAGTATTGGCAATAATTTTGTTGTTATATTTAATTTGTATTTTGGGATTAATAATATCTTTAGAGAGGAATCCCATACAATAGGGTTTGTCCAGGTTGCTTCCATTGCTGCATGTTTTCATGATATAATAGAGGTCTGCACCTGATCCATCCCATTGCTTGTCTCCTGCCATTTATATTCATTCCTACTCTTCTTTAACTTATCTGCAGTTCTCTCTCCCCATCCCTTTTAACCTTCATTGGCCAGATTTAAATTCCTACTACTATGGCACTAGCAGACATTTAAATTTGGAAATATGAATTTATATTTAAAAAATATGACACACTGTCCAGTGGGTCCTGCTGAACTAAGCATGAGCTGGGACAGTTGTGCAATACACATGTGATGGAGGTTGACGATTTTCGTTTTTTAATAAAACAAAAACATTATAGGAGGCCACAAACATCTTATACACTCTTTTTTTTGCCTGATTCATTCTGGTTTGTTCCTTGGTTTACTTTTCAACCCTGAAGATGGAGGCCACATGTTCCTCTGAAATGTCACTTAACTTTCAATGGACCGTGAAACATTATTTCCCAAACATAGAACCCTTCATAACCACTGCTGTGAGAACCTCGAATTCTATATGTAGCATGCTCTTGGGAAGCAAGGAAAGTGCACAGACTAAACTTATAGACCTTGTGGGAAGTGATAACTTGCAAGATCTGGAAATACCTCAGAGACAACAAATAGAAATAAACCCTGAAAATGTGAAGTGGATTTAAGTGATACAGGACAGAATCCAGTGCTTCACTCCTGTGAACTTGTTTCTTCCATGGAAACAAAAATTTATTGACCAGATGAATATATATCTGCTATTCAAGTAAGGCTTCGCACCATGTAATTAATTGATTGCTTATGGTGTTAGTCCATTAGGTATAGTTAAATGTGCTCTGCTCATCTGTCTTTCAGGTTTGCTGAAGGTATACAGTGTGTGGTCTTGTTTGCTTGCTAGACAGATTTCTTCTTCATCTCAAATATCTGTTGCCAAGGCACCACACATATGTATTCTTACATTATGCTAAATAAATGTATAAAGGTTAAGTTGTTTCTGTGCTTCATTAAACACCATGCCATGAAAACACATGGCGAAGTGCAGGTATAGTTCCACCATTCTTGACCCCAACACTAGATGGAGGTGAGTTGTCAGCTTCATGCCTTGGCTGCTTTATCCCATTGGGGAGGAGACTGAGTGGGCCCCAAAGCTAGTCTCAGTGCTGTGGAGTATGGGAAAATCTCTTGCCCTTGCTTGGAATAGGAACCTGGTCATCCAGCCTATAGCCCATTACTGTGCCATCTGAACTTTTCCAGCTCCCTGCCTTCTGCTTAATACAGCTAATACAGACATTTTTGTAGGATATTTGACTTCAGAAAAATTACTTAAATCTGCTAGCCACATAATGAAATCCACTGGCCTCTAGTCATACAATTTGGTTCATCAAGTACCTGTGCCACCTGTGATGAATGTGTGCTGCTCTACTCATCCA